GATGAATGCTCAAATCATTCTAAAAGGACAATCATGGTCAACGAGTGTAACTCACACTCGAAATTCAGATATCATAGCAAGTATTAATTTGGCCACATGTTGCAACAGCAAGGTATGTTAGATTGAGGCTTCAGAAAAGCATACATAGTCCACATTTCAAAGAAACCAAAAAAACAAAAAGATAATTGTAAGAAGAGAACAGATGTTGATTGTATATAGACTTCTACTGTATTAGCCAGGATAGATCATGCTACCAGTGCATACCATCACTGACAAAACCATAATAGGAGATTGTCATCCCAAAGTGAATAACACCAGTCTGAATCCACTCAACAGCAAAAACATCTGTAGCAGTAAGACCTCCCTGAAACGAACAAGAGAGAACCTAAATTGTAGGCAGCAAAAAGACCAGTAGGAATTTAATGTATCTACAACAAGAAACATGTGGTATTCTTAACACTCTTTTCCTTATTGTGGCAGTTATTAAAAAGAGCAAGTTTCCACCAATAGAAAAGCAACAGCATGAAGACATTTCTCCCAAACCTTTCACAGCAATGTGTTGGGGTCATCAACGTGTTATTAAGCAATTTGAGACCCATGTTTCAAAATGGTTTTGAAAATCAATCCATAAAAGGAGAAACAAAATAACCAGCAAGTAAAGCAAATCTCATATTGAATTTACAAAGCAACATTACCTTCACAATAGAAATCGCAGCAGAGACTGGATCTCTAACTCCAAGAACTGTCCAAACCAGAGAATTATTGGAACCTGCTGGTATAATTCCAATGGGAGCTTTGAAAGGATTGCAAGAGAGTGAGAGGAAAGGGCGCCGCAGATGGGTTTTTTGGTGAGATGAGAGAAATGGGGAGAAAGAGGGAAAGAAAAGAGGGAACGAAGAAAATGAAAATTTAGGGTTGTTTAGGTTAAGGGTAAGATAGTAATTTTATAAATAAAATAAAATATATATATAACAAAAAAGCTCAATTAGGCTAGCAAACTATTCAAGCCGGGTACTAATATGCTCAAACTTGGCTCGTTCGATCAGTCGAACTACTCGAGCTCGAGTTCGGCTCAACAATTATCGAATCAAATTCGAGTTTAATCGAATCGAATCCAAATTGCTTGCGAGTACTAATATATCATTTATACCCCTACTTCCTCCTCAGACTCTTCTTCTTCTTCTTCCTCCACTTCAGCTTCTTCCTAGAATGAGAGATGAAATACCATCTTCTTTAGCAAGTGAAATAAAGTATCAAAAACACGCACATGCACTTTCATAAGGGAAGAAAGAGAAGCATAGCAACAAAGATAATAGCAAGGCACATATTTAAGAAAATAAAATTAGTTTTTCCAATTAAACACTCAGCACAGCTGATTATGAAGGCAGAAAAAGAAACAAAAACAACCATCATCAAACTTAACTGATAATCCTCTTGTAATAAATCGTTATCCATTTATTTTCTATATGCCAAATTCATATTTTCTGACCATTACAAGCATCTAAATGGAACAATCAAAATATAAGTCTTAACACATATAAACTCCAATTCCAAACTAACATTCTCTTATAATAAATTCTAACAAAAGAGATGCAATACCCTAATTTAAAACCATCCAAATAGCCAAAATCCATGAAAATTACAACGTTCAAGTTGTCATCCACCCTGTATGAAAGACATCCAACATAACTTGCCCAAAATTCAAAGAAAGCATCAATTTTGGTTGGTCAAAGTAAACATTGAAGCATTTTCTTCTTCACAAAAATCAGTATCAAGATTAAAAATATACTTCTTTTCACGCGATATATAGCGAAAATACATGATAACAACAACCAAATTACCAGAAGAAAAAATAAACTATTAATAATCCAAAACTAATTTCACTATACATATTATTCTTCAAGTTTATAACCAAGTAAGTATAAAATCTTATCTTACCTTCTTAAAAGTATGGGGACCAGCAGATGTACCAGCAACTGCAACCATTAAAACATTTAAAGAGAATAACAAAAACAAAGTCAAGATTAAAAATGAAGTTACAAAACCACAAAACAAAAGCACAAAAATTTAAGTTGTTTTTTGTATTTTGTCTTCAAATTTGATTCAAAGTTAAAATTTTTAGTTTAACTAATTAAAAGAAAAAGATATTAAAATATAACAAATTATTCGAATCTAATAATTCATCACGCCAAAAAAAGAATCTAACAATTCATGCATTAAATACACAATCACTTCCAAGTTTATTCAAGGCCAAAACTAAAGTTTAAAAGTACAAAATTTTGAATTTTAAAGTTTAAATTTATCTATTTCCTATATTTAGCATCTAAAAATTCACAAAAAAAAAAAAAAACAAAATCAATACGCTAGAGCTACTGATCCAGAAACTGAATGCTTAGTTAGATCTGATACCAGCAAACCGTATGCAAATACGTATAAATATATGGATGTGAATAAAAAAAAAAAAATAAATACGCAGAAAAGGAACAGAGAGTGAGTGTACGGAACTCTTCGGGAGAAGAGAAATGGCAGTGACCGGTGGGCTTGCCCTTGAATTTTCCTCTTCCCCTTTTTTTTTTTTTTCTTTTCTGATTACAGAAAGAAATGAAGGAAGAAGCGGAAGCTCAAAGTGAGGCCTGAAGCTGCTAGTGAGGACTGCAAATTTTTTTATTTATCAGGAGCATTTTTGGGAAAGACTAAGTTGGGGGCGTTGAGTGCACGCGCCTTTTTTTTAAATATATTAAAATACATACGGATTCGGAAAATTTTTTTAAAATTATACTCCCCTCGTCCCTATTGATTCGGATGAAATTAATTTTTAGGAAATTAAAAAAATTAATTTTAATATATTTAATATGAAAATTAAAATTGTTGTGTACTAATAAAATTTCATAGTTTTTAATTTTAAAAAATAAAAAAATTATAAAAAATAATTTAATATATATTATATTACAACATACAAAGTTACATAATCAAAATTACTTATGTGAATGTTTAAGTGGATAATCTCTTTTATTAACACATAAGATAATATTTATATTATTTTATTTATTAAATAAAAAATTTTAATAAATATTTAAATTGAATATTTTAGATAATTATTTAAATTAAAATAAAAATCTAACTAAAATTAAAATTTTTACATAAGATTTGAATTAAAATATATTAAATCATAATTTATCTTTTCTTTTTAAATTTAATGATAGTTCCAAATATATATATTTAATAAAATTTATTTTCTATCAAATAATTATACCTAATAAATTATTTAAATTTAATATTGTTAGATAATTATTTAAATTCAAATCAAAATCTATAAAAAATTAAAAATTATTTAATAAATTATTTAAATTTAATATTTTAGATAAGTTAATAAATTATTGACTAGAAAACATGTATTTTTAAAATAATAAAAGCGTACATCTTTATATAAAAATATGAGATATTTGAATGTTGATAAAAAAATTAAATTAAAATATGTTTTTACTTTAAAAACAAATATCATATTTTATTTATGTTCTAATTCAAATATTTTTATATTATATATTTGGTTAGTTTATTTATTTCTCTTTAGTCCATAACTTATTTTAATTTTGCTTTATAATTAACTTTTTATATTATATATATTTTTTGTTTTATTAATTTCTTCAATATTTTTTTCAGTGTTAATTTATTAATATATTTACTTTTATTATTGTATATATTTAATCTTGACAAATTAAAATATAAATTTATATTATCTATTTTTTTTGTTGTACTTTTTATTATTAAATTTTTTTATCTATAATGGATAATATGAGAAGAATGATGATTACTATAATATCTGACTTATAAAAAATACTATTAATTATGTTAAAAATGATTAAAAATAAAAAAAATGTTTAAAAAAAAAGTTGTAAGCATAACATAAAGAATTATTGTTTCTCTTTTATGCATATATAAAAATAATTGTTAGCCCAATATATTTGTGTAATAATTAATTGAAGTATGTAAAAAATAAGAACTAATAAAAAGCAAAATGATTATAACAAAATTAATAATTATGATTTGTAATTCAATCAAATATATATATATATATATATACACACTATCCAATCAACATTATGATAAAAATAATTATTAATTTTAACTATTTAAATATTGATTCTTAATTTTGTATCAAACAAGAAAAAAAAGGGTAGCAAAATTTTTAAAATTTAGCAAATAAATTGAAGAAAATATTTTTAATGAAAAAAATGATTTTTATAGTTGTTAAAAATTTACAAAAATTTAAACTTCTTTTAGATGGATAATATCATTTATAATATATTATGTATAAATTATCATTTAATTGTAATTTAAACATTTATAAATAATAATTATATATTAAATAAATAATTAAAAAAATTTAAATTATAAAAATTTTAATAAAAAATTTTGTATATTGTACGGGTTTAAAATGCTAATTTTAAAATATAAAATAATAAGAATTTTACATATTAAAAAATATATAATTTTAGGATATAAAAAATGAAAAAATATTAAATTTGATTGTAAAATAACATATTTAACAAAGATTATAATTGATTTAAACATTAAGCTTAACTATAATGTTTCAAACAATTCAAATAAAATATTTTTTGAAATATCAAATAAAATATTTTTTTAAAATATCCAATAAAATACTTAACCATTCTACCTTTTAAGCAAATCATATTATTCTACCCATTAAGGAAATTATATTATTAATATATATTACATGATAATTTTAGATACAATGAAAAAAAATAAAAATATAAAATTGACATAATTTAAAATTAAGACGAAAATTTAAAATGTATATAATATTAGTATTAATATTCCCGAACATTAATTATAATTTGAAAAATTATTTGTAATATTAATCTAATAAAAATATATAATTAAAAAAATTATTTTAATATTTTTATCATATTCTTGTCGTTTTATTAGTAGTATGTTTAAAATTGTGGAAGAAATTTTTGCACTGTTCTTCTCCCCTTGGCCCGCGCCCTAAACTCACACCTAGTTTCTCTGTGGAAAACACTTCGGCGTCCGCCATAAACGAATTTTTATAAATAGAAGAAGCTGACACCCAGAACCAACCAAAAAAATGCGGGTTTTGAAATCTCGGAGCGTAAAACCCAGACCCATTTCGAAGTTGTTAATGAAAGTGGGTTCGAGTCGGTGCTACGTAAGTAGTTGTAGGGCGGTGTTGTTGCCTCGGTTCGGTGGACCTGAGGTGTTGGAGCTCCGATCCGATGTGCCTGTTCCTGATCTTAAGCCCAATGAGGTCCTTGTAAGAGCCCGAGCTGTCTCTATCAATCCCCTTGATACCAGAGTAAGTCCTTTTGTTTTCTTGTTTTGGGTCAATTTTTTTTCTTGTTTAATGTAATAGTAAAAGTATTTTGTTACTTAATTCTTGGAGTGCTTTGTTTGGTTCCTGAAAGTGCGAGACAAATGAAATGAGATGGAAACGAGTTCCTTCTTTTAGGTTTGATTTTCGTTGATTTCATAGCTATGCGAGTCAATCTCCTTGATGCATGTGAAGGGGTGAATTTTTTTTTTTTCATTGAATTCCTTGTTTAATTCGTTCTAATTCATTTAGTTTGCTTAATTCATTTATGAGGTGGTCATTTGGATGCAATGAACTGTGAGAACAAAATAAACGAATTTAAAATTAGTTTGGTGGAATTAATCTTTGGTTTCTGAATTTCTGTTTTTCAGATGAGATCAGGCTATGGTCGTTCTATATTCGAACCTCTTCTGCCTCTTATTTTGGGACGTGATGTAAGCGGCGAAGTTGCAGCTATTGCAGCTTCAGTGAAGTCATTGAAGGTAGGGCAGGAAGTTTTTGGTGCTCTGCATCCAACTGCTGTGAGGGGCACGTATGCTGACTATGCAATTCTTTCAGAAGACGAGCTTTCTCCAAAACCAGCATCAGTTACTCATGTGGTAACTATTCAATCTTTTAGTCATCCATTAGGTTATGAACAAATATATGTTTCGTCTGATTTTTTTCCCAATAATAGATTTATGTGACATACGATTTTTTTTTTTCATTCATTTTGGTTAGCTCTTGGTGATGGTGGATGATGACACTCTGCTTGAACCTTATCTGTTTATTTAGTATCTCTGTCTTTAACCATTCTGACAAACATTTTTATCATCAGTTGGTCTAGTTTGTGATTCCCTGACTTTTCTTTTGACTATATTTAAGTTCATAATTCCTAGAATATTGTGTTTTTACGTTTTAATTATATAACATGAATCTGAATCTTTTTTGGGTGTTGTAGGAAGCAAGTGCCATTCCTTTTGCTGCATTGACTGCATGGCGTGCCTTAAAAAGTACTGCTAGGATAGCAGAAGGGTACGTTTGTGTCTCTGGATTGTTGATTGTTTTCAGCAATGTTTTCATGTATTTCCTTAATTTTGACAAATTATAGTCAAATATTTTAGCTACATTAACAGTCTTTACTAACCATAAGTCCTATGTTCATGGAATTGTATGATCATATTTGATGTACATAATTTTCATCATTGTAGATCAGTGGGTTTAAAGGGCTTTACTAGATATGGCAAAAACTAATTCTCCCGCAAACATTGTTTTCCTGGAAGATAAATTCTAATTCATCCCATTTTCCTTATATATTGTGGATACTCTATGTCTTTGGCTTTAACTCATTCTGTTTCACTTTGTTTATCTATTTATTTTTGTAAAGATGAATCTCTTTTTATGCGTTGCAAATGAAAGTAACTACATATTGATATTGATAAAGTATGTTATCTCATTTCTCTGTCTCATCTTCAAATGTCATTTTGGTAGAGGCTACAACAATACAATTGTCCAACTGAAATTTACAATTACATATTCTGGGAACTGTTGCAATTTATCCCCCCATGATTGAATGCTCATTCAACAGGCAAAGACTGTTAGTAATAGGTGGTGGAGGAGCAGTAGGTTTTGCTGCAATTCAGCTTGCGGTAGCCGTGGGGTGCCATGTTTCAACTACTTGTGGAAATCGAAGTATAAATCGAGTAATGGCAGCAGGTGCAGAGCAGGCTATTGATTACACTGCTGAGGTGGTGAACTAATAATTTATTGAGTTATTAATTCGCTTATGGTAGCTGTTTGGAATGATACGCCTTATATTGATTACTAATTTGAGTTTAATGACATTTATTTACAGGACATTGAAGCAGTAATTAAGGGAAAATTTGATGCTGTTCTGGACACTATTGGTGTAGCAGAGACAGAAAGAATAGGCATCAATCTTTTGAATAGAGGTGGACACTATATGACACTTCAGGTAAGAGGGTGGAAGCTTGTAATTATTTTTGCTCTTGGAAGGGCACTTCCTTCACTTTTCTTTAAATCCCTTGTCTTGTTCAATGCCTGGAGTACATAATGGGAGTAAGAGCTCCTTCAACCCTTGGGCGTTGCCCGCAATTTTATCCTGGACCTGGTGCAAAACCTCAAAGAACTTATTCCAGTTTTATGAATGCTGGGAACCTCCATAGGGAATTTTATATGCATATTTGTCAATTCTGTGAGTTAATTATTGAATGTTTGGTTGTCTGTTACTTTATTGTTGTAGGGAGAGGCAGCAGCACTCAGTGACAGGTATGGGCTACCAATTGGGCTTCCTGTGGCTACAGCTCTTTTACTGAAGAAAAGGATTCAATACCTATATTCTTATGGAATAGGTACATATTTTATTTGTCATCTTATGCTTTATAAACATATTGTTTGTTAAAAATGATCGGTTCTGCGCTCCTTTCTCTATTAAAAGCTATACAACAGAAGGTCTAGGAAGGAATAATATGATCATATTTGAAAGTTCTTAGCTTGTTACTATCTCATTAATAACTTCCCATTTTTGTTGAGCTTTGCTGATGTATTATGTATGTCTAGCCCATGACCAAGGTTGATCTGCAAGCTGAAAATATTATAATAGGTCTGTTTTCTATATTTCCATAAAAGATTATCTGAGCCTCTAGTTTTATAGGTCTCTGCATCATCCTTTCTTTTCTTTTATACCAGGTTGTTGGAGCATTAATCATGAATATTCATGAAGGACTGTGTTCCCGTCTAGATTTTCTTCTTTCTTCAATATTTTGTTCTTACATACGTTTAATAGTTTGATGATTTCAATAAATCATTCCGTTGTGATGTTAATGATACATTGCTGAACCTTTTGATCACTACATCCTTCCCTAATGTTTTGGTGGTACAGAATATTCATGGACATACATGAGGGCTGACTCAGAAGGTTTACATGAGATACGACGATTAACAGAAGCCGGAAAGCTGAATATACCTGTAGAAAAAACATTTTCCATAAGTCAAGTAAGAGAGGCTCATGAAGCTAAAGACAAGAAGACAATCCTAGGTAAAGTAGTTCTGGAACTTGACTGAAGTAAATTCTACAAGCTCACAAAGAACTTCCCATTTTTCTAAATCGTTCTTTCATCATAAATTTGTTAGGATATAGTTTTCTTGGCTTGCCTCCTCTATACTAGGATGTTGCATATAATGTGGGAATTTTGCCGGTGCAAGCATTCAGTGTCGTGTCGGAATCTGTAAATTGCTTGAGCATAAATTTTTTCCTTCATTTTACTGAAAATTTATAGTTAAGCATTTTGAATAAAAAAAAAAAAGGGGAAATTCATTTGAAATTGATACTTGATTGAACCATCTATAACTGTTATCTTGCCCATGTTCCCAAGTATGACAAAAAGTAGTGAACTTTTGTGTCAATTGATTATTCCAAATCCTATAAACCCAGAATTTCTGTCAAACTGGGATATGCAATCAGAGCATTAGAAAGAAAAAAATGGGGTAATGTTGAAAAATATTAGATAGAAGAATTTTATCAAGTTTTCATAAGTCATGTTGATGGTAAGTTTAATTGAGCTTCATTTTCAATTCAATCTCTGACTCAAATATCATATGGTTAAATAAAAATTGAAAATACAAGACTGATGTATTTACAATTATATAAAATTGAAAAAAAAAAATAAAAGAAAAACTCAATTAAACGACCTAACAACTAAAATTTGAATTTGTCCTGAATAGCTCAAGTTATGTCTCTTAATTAGATACCGTAATATATGTTTTTATATTATATTTATTTTATATTAAATATATGTAAATAAAAATATAAATGATATATTAAGTAATTCAGATAATATTTGAATTCAATTAAATCATTATCGAGCCTAACAATTGAATTTATCTAGCTTCAATTAAATTCGAATATTCAAATATGAGATTTAAGTAATTCGTGTATATAATTGAGTTTTTATATTTTAATACATATTTTAATTATTTTAATTAAACAATTATTATTAATCTTTATATATATATCAATTTAAATTTAAATTTAAACACAAATAATTAAACTTAAATTTTAATTAAAGAATTGAGCTCGTTTTTATTTATTAAAAGAGATTAATCTAGTGAGCTCAAATAATTTGATATTTATCTCAAATTAAACTCGAATTTAAAAATTTAAATTCAATCAAGTTCAAATTGAATTTCAAATAATAAATTTCGAGTTAAATATAATTTAAGTTTTTTATTATGTAAACTCGATTATATTTTTTCATGTAAAATATAAAAGTTACTATATTATAATTTATACTAATATATTAAATACAAAACATATTCTTTTATTTTTTGAAATTTATAAATAATTTTTAACTAAAATTTTAAGTCCTATTTTTCACATTATTTACATATAAAAGTTTAAAATTTCCAAATTATCCTTACCTTCCAACCAGGTGGTCCAAGCTTAGACCTCCAAATCTTGTAACATATGGGAAAAGATCGATTTGACTTCCCACCTTACACTCCAAGATCTAATGATTTTGGATAAAAATCATTCTATGTCTCCCCCACACCTACTTTTGTGACATTACAGTTGGCTTAACCTTGAATTTGTGCTTGCTTTAGGATGCCAAATCATTCACTTTAATCCCATTTATTTGGTTAAAGAATCTTGAACTCTGTTTCTTTTGGTCAAGAAAAGAATCTTAATCTCTTTCTTTCCATAATTCCTTTGTCTTGTTATTGTGAAAATTTTCAGTCAAAACCCACACTCCTTTTCAAGTAGAATCCTCGACTCATTCATCATTTCCTTCATCATTCCCAGTATCAAGTTAAGGTGTTTTTTTTTCTTTGTTCTTTTTTAACTCGTTGGCAGCCTAGCTTGCTAAATAAATTAAGCTAAAATTACATGAGGGTAGGCAAATAGGCTAAGCATGATAATTAAAAAAAAGGTTGACGTGGCAGTTAATGATTGGTTACATGGTTGGAAACTAGCGTGGTCTTTCCGGCAGATTAGTAGCCATTGGTTGTTAAGTAAACTCACGCGCTGTTTAAATGCGATTCTCAATGTAACGCGTGGGTGCGGTCTCGGTCGCTCTCTGCCAAGCGACAACCAGGGAATGGCCTTTGCTTTTTTTGATTCTTTCAAGTATTCATGGTTTTCGACCTTTCATACCCACAATTTTTTATTGTTCTTTTGCCCACGCGCTTGCGAATAATAATAATTTATAACATGAAAAAATTGGAGAATTTTGGTTTAATTTGGCATGAATTACTTCTAACTTTTTCATAAAAAGATTCCAACTTTATTATTTGGACAAAGCCTGTTTGAAATTTGGACATGGGTGGGACAAGTAATTAGCTTAATGTTATATTGATTATTTTTAAATTTTACAAGTAGAGTTAAAAGAGTGATAATATATAATTATATATATATGTTTAAGGTATAAAAATAAAAATATAATATGTATCAATTTTTAAATATCACTTGTGAAATTAAAAATTTACATTGATAATATATCAAATACTAACTTAAAATATAGATTTTGATATGTAAAAATATCTCAATCGAGCTTTCAAAATTTAATAAAAGTTTTAATATTTGAGATTAATAATAATATTTTATTTATTGTGGAACGTAGGCATTTTAGAAAAAAAAGAAAAAAACCTAAAATCGGGATAGTATGTAACATTTTATCAACTCTCAAATAATTCATTTAGGTTTAGAACGATGAGAATCTCTCTTATCATTTTACACTACTATTTCAACGAGTTTTATTTTAAATAGATCTTTAGCATTAATTTTTTAGTGATTAAAAATAAAGTTTGATATATTCTCCAACAAATGGACACTTTCTTCAATCTATGATATAAGGGTAGAATCTTGACCCTCAATCTAGATTAGTAAAAGTATATTCTTGATTGCTAAATTGGATTTCATTATCAACTCTTTACTAAATTGCTTAAATGGGTTTAAGTAATTCTTATAAAATACTTCATATTGATAAATCTCTTTAATAATTATACATCAATGATTTATAATTCAATCTAATTAGTTTAAGCCTATTAACTCAACCTTACAACTAAGCAAAGTACTAAAATGGCTGCATGATATATAATGTATTTACCTACCATGATGATCAAGTAACAAGTACTATGTTCAATCTTGATTTTTGAAACTTTTATTTTGGTTTCCATGATCAAGTAACAATATCTTACCTAATGTTGATTTGTTAAACAAAAGTAATTAAATAGCTAAAGACCTATATTTGCAAAGTGAGGTTCATTAACATAAATTAAACATGAGTAAATTGGAGCTTTTTACACTAGATTATATATATATATATGGACAAGTAAATATAAATGGATAGACATAAAATTAGATAAAAGTTCGTAAACGATGAAATTTGAATTTAAAATTTTAAAATATTTTTTATGGTTGAGACAATAATTTGTTAGCAATAATAAATCTAAATAAAACAATTATTGCAAAGAAGTTGATTAAGGTGTGGGGAGCTAGGGTTGATGAAAGTTGTGCACAAACAACATGAACTCACGTAGGAGTGAAATATTTGTACATGAAATTATTAAAATTAAGAAAAACTTTACGTACACTTTTTATGGTTTATGACTTTTTCATGCACTCATCTTGTGAAAAATTTTATTTATTTATTTATAATTTTGTGATTCATTTCTGTTATTAGAAGAGATAATAAAATTAAAAATCAAGCAAAATTTAATGAAATTATAAAATTATTTTTATCATTGTTTTTTAACATCATTATCTATTTTAATAGTAGAAGTGAAGCACAAGATTGTAAATGAAAAAAAAATTTACAAAAAAATTATAAATAAAAAGAAGTTACAAATCACATAAGATGCATGTGAAATTTGCCCTAAAATTAATTGTCAAAACGGGAGAGTTTAATGCATGCATTGCCATTCCCATCATCATTCAACCCTATCTTTCAAAGTCAGGTCACGTGTACTCCTCTGGATTCTCTTCCACTCCCCCACGTGTTTCCCCATCAAAAACCCCAATTTCCTCCCACATAATTTCCACTATTGCCACTTTTTTGTTGTTTCGGCTTTTGCAAGAAAAAGATAATGAAGGCAACCGGATGGTGATTGATATTCCCAAGGCACTTTCCCCTCCCACCCCATAGGCTTTTTGTGGGGGATATAATTAATTTTAAATTAAATTAAATTATTATAATTAATTAAATCAAATTTATAAATTTTAAAAATTAACTATAGAATTTAATTTGATTAGTTTGATTAATTTATTTAATAATCAAATAATAAATATATTTAAATTAAATTATGTTTTAAATTTTAAATATTTTAAATTTTAAATAAATTAAATAAAATTATTTAATAAAATATTTAAATATTTTATTAAAAATTATAATAAATTATAAAATTAAATGATCTATTTTATATATTTTATTTTATATTTGAATTATATAATATTTCAATTAAAATTTCGATTAATTTAATTTTTAAATTAAATTAATCAAAAATTAAAATTTTTTAAAAATTATTTTTATTAATTGATTAATTAATTAAATTAAATTAACTTAATCCATTGAGTCGATTAAAATTGAATTACGATCACTTGTACTTTTATTAATCCTTGTCTTGTTTTTGTATTAAATTATTTTTTTAATCAATCAATTAATCAAATTAAATTAATTTAATCCATTAAATCGATTAAAATCGAATTAGGATCACTCATACTTTTGTCAATCCCTGTCTTGTTTCTGTTGTCCTCCATTTATTTGATTATCTGGCCACGTTTTGTGTGGTTTATTTTGTAACATGGCAGGGGAATTCTTCCCTTGGGATAACATTAGTCCTATTTTCATTCATTTTTTTTTTTAATCTCAAATGGGTGGTTTATTAGGTTTTTGAAAATTTTAAGATTTTGATCTATCATATTTTATGTATTTATAGTTATAAAAATTTGAATTATAATTATTAAAATTAAAATTTTAATATTTTATCCATATATCATATAGTTATTAACAGATTTTTCTATCTTGCATTGATACAATGACATAAGCAAACAAGAAAAATCTTTGCAATGAATCTTTTCTTGAATTGCAATTTTAAATATTTTAGTGCTTTTAATCCATAATTGAATCATAATTGAATTTCAACTCATGTTCTTATTTGTCAAATGTTTTTTTAGAAGAGGTGTGTGTGTCCTCCTAGCATCAAAATCATTCACATGGCTTGTAGTTGAATGGGGTACAACAAAAGATAAAGAACACTAAAAAAGGAATAAGAATGAATGATAAAACATTCTTTAATTAGGTGATAAAATAAACTTGATCTGAAATTGACCTGAATTTCCATATTCCCAAGAAAAATAAACCTTAATCTTAGTTAAATTTATGAAGAAGTTAACATGCACATGCTTATCCAAATAAAGGTGGAGCTAATTCAATACTTAACTATTTGTTCAAATAACAAAAGAATTATATTTAGATGAATGCTGTTAGACCTAATATTGGTGTAAGCTATGCTGTTAGTCCAAGATCAAACACGTTAGTGAGAAAGTAATTTAGATAAGTTCCAATGACACTATCGTAATGTTCTTTGTCTTGATCAGACCTTGTCTATAAGTAAAGAAGGTATTCATGTATTACACTTGAGCTGATTCATATAATTATGTCTTTAAGCTCTAAAAATAAGAGCTCCATGGTAAAAGATTATAAAACAAAACTAATCCCACTTTCTCCATGGCTATTATCCTCCCTATGTGCTTCTTCCTATTGACTTGAACGTTAGAATGGATATTAAAATTCGATGCTTCTTTCGTTCTTCTTTCTCTTTGGATAGTTTACACGAATTTTCTGTTCAAAATTTTCTACCAAACCTTGCACTATCAACCCAAAAATCTCTCAACAAATGCAAAACAACTTGCAAAATGCGAATGCTCATAAATATATTACTTATTACTTTCGTATCATTTATGAGCAGTCAAGTAATCAAAATGGGAGATGAAATGACATTAAGAAAACAGTATTGGATAAATTAAACGAAGTTGTATAAATTTTGCCGACTCTCATGAAATGTAGCGTCTATCAAGATTCTAACCACATCAAAATAAAGTCAAAATTTTCAGCTTTTTGCGAAATTAAAAAAAAATTATATATGAATGATTTTTAAATTATAATAAAATATTTAATATATTACTCGAATTTTAAAAATTTTTAATATAATATATGAATTATAAATTTATTAATTAGTATAATACTTAAAAGATTATTTGTTCATTATGTGTTTTCATTTGAAATTAATCACGTTAAAAAAAATAATATTATATTTATTAAGAGATTCATAATTCAAATATCATATTAAAAAATTTTAAAATTTAGATATAATAGTAAATATTTTACTATAATTGATTTAAAGGCAACTGATGATATTAACGCAACAAAAAATAAAAATATCCATTTAGGAATAACAATGGATAATAAATAAACAGATATTGATTATTAGGGTTGACAACAGGTCGGATTGGGACGAATTTTTACTCGCCTTGAATTTGACCCGATTTTACATTCATTAAACCTATAATCGTACCCGACCTAAAATTTTTTTTATTTTTTATATCCGTACCTGACTCAATGTTTTATAAATTATACCCGACTTGATTGAAATTAATAAAATATTATTTTTTAAATATAAAATATTTAAATATATAATTATATATATAAATAAAAAATTAAATAAACAATTAAAAATTATTTTTATATAATATTGGGTTGGGTCGAGTTTGTTTAAAACCGAAACCCGACCTAACTTGAAATCTGATTTAAAAAAAAAATTGATCCTATGAGATCGGATCGAAACCCTTCGAAGACGGGTTGGATTGTCTACTCTATTCATTATTATTCAATTCGTTTATGTTGAATTCAAATAGTTATAAACAGATAATTAATGAATTTAATAAAAAAATTTATTAACTATAACAAATTCAGATAAGATATAGATAATATCTTCAAAATATCTAATATCTGAATCAATTATTTATTTATATATATAAAATATATAAACTTTTATTCTTATAGACTATTTCAAATCTTAATAAATAATTTTTATTTATTATTAATTAAAAGTGAATTTAAATTTTAAATTTAATTTTTTAATATTTTGATAAAAAATAAAAAATTAAATATTTTAATGAATTTAAATATTTAAACAAATTTAAATTTAAATAATAATACTAAACTTAAATAAATATTATTAAATAAATTCAAATTCTGAAACTTAAAAAAAATAAACTCCATTGTCTTTTCTAGTACAACCATTTCTCCTTTTAAGTTTTAACTTGCCCTCTATTCTGTATATAAAAAAACATACTAACATCCATGGCCCATGTAACCAGAAAGAAAGAAATAAAGGCTTCAAATTTGCTAAAGACAAAACAACATTTCGTCTTCTTCCGTTAAACCCTCTCTTCTTTCCTTTCCTTCATTCTATTTGTTTTCTTTTCTCTCTCTCTTCCATTAACCTTTCTATCTGTAAACCTTTGCACCCCATCACTTTCAAATCCCACAAACAAAACCCATTATGTCTTGTGTTCTTGATAAAAAAATCTCTCAATTTTAACTTTTTTCTTTAGGGTTTTTCTTCCTTCTATTGAAAAGGTCATGTCACTGTAAACGAAAAAAACAAAAATAATGGATCCGGAGAGACCCCATCGAAGTGCCAGCATCAACGACAGCAGCAGTAGCAGTAACACAACAAGCACCACGAGCGAGCTCTTCATTTGTTTCACTTCACGCCTTTCTTCTTCCTCAATGAAAATCTCTTCAAAATCCTTTCTTAGTCCTGGTCGTACAAGGGAACCTTCACAAATCTCTCTTTCTTCATCCCTTAGTAGAAGATTGAGAAGTAATGGTAGCATGAAAGGTGGTCAAGCTTCACCAATGTTCCCTACAAATGGCAAAAAAAGAGGCTGTGCTTATGAAAACCCTGAGCCTTCTTCTCCTAAGGTTACTTGTATAGGTCAAGTTAGAGTCAAGACTAAGAAACAGGGCAAAAAGTTAAGAGCTTGCAGATCTAAAAGGAGAGGGGAAGTTAGTTTCACAAAAGTGGGTCATAACAATGCCAACAGTGGAAGCAACAGTCTTGATTCAAGTAATTGTCAGGATTACAACATGGGTCATTTCTTAAGCAATAACAGTCATCATCACCAGCAGCAACAGCAACAAGAATGCAAGAAATGGGTGCATTTGCGGTTGACTATTTGTGAAACATTGAGGGCATTTGGAGCTGAATTTAACTGCTTTTTGCCTTGCGGTTCTTCTTGTATGGCTAACCAAAGGGACAAAGAAGAGAAAACAGGAGCAGTACGTGCTGGGAATGATGGAAATGGAAATGGGAATTCTTCCTCTGGGGCTGTCTTTGGTAGGTGGCTTGTGGCAGTTAAAGAAGGGGAAGGGAAAGAGAGGGAGATTGACTTGGTTGTTGGTGGGGAAGATGATGAGCGAAGGAAAAGTAGTGAGATGATGAGAAGTAACCGAAGGAGACATGTTTTTGAGGATATTGAAATAAATGATTGTGGTAATGAAACTATGGGTGATGAAAAAGAAGCTAGGGTGAGTATTTGTATCCCACCTAAGAATGCTTTGTTGTTGATGAGGTGTAGATCTGATCCTGTTAAAATGGCTGCTCTCGCCAACAAGTGTTGGGAGACTCTAATGCCTAAACATGAAGAAGGAGAGGAAGAAGCTGAAAATGACAATGAAGAGAAAGAGGAAGAGCAAGAGGATGCTGTGGAAGTAGAAAGGGAAGAAAGGCAAGTAAAATTTGAGCAAGAAATTGAATATCAACAAGTGAGTGAAGTCAGTGAAATGTTTATTTCTTGTGAAGCAACTGATGAACAAGAAATCCCAGAAACTGAAGCTGAAACAGAGCCAGAATCTGTTTTGGTAGCGGATGAAAATGAAGTTGTAGAAGAAAGTTTGGAAAGGGCCTTAAAAGAAGAAACATTTATAAAATGTGGAGATCAAGAACAAGAAAATGAAGTAGATGAAGACCAGCAGGAATCAACAATAAAAGAAGCAATTTTGACAGAAGTTTTATTTGATCTTGACAAGCTACAGGGTGAAGAAAATGTACCACAAACAGAAGAAGAAAATGAAGATGGCCTTGAAGAAGAAGCTGAAGCTGAAGAGGAAAATGTTAGTGCTAAAGTAGAGGAAGACGAAGATCAAGCAGAAGAGGGTTCAACTTCAACAGTAGAGGAGCAAGGGACTGAGACAATCCAAGAAGGATCCGAACTTGAATGTCCGGAAACACGGGAATCAGACCGGGAAGTTGAGTCAAAGAAGAGTAAAAGTCAACAGAACTTATTGCCAGATTGTTCACCGTTAATGATGTGTGAGTCAAAGCTGTCAATGGAGGTATCCAAGGAGGCTTGGGTGTGTAGCACGGATTTCATCAGGTGGGTACCAGAGAAGAAAAAGCAGGCAGTGGTCAAACAAAAGGTCGGCGGAGATGAGACCAAACGAAGAATCAGGATTGACTCTAATCCTGCTCCAGTTTTGTTACAGCCACCTAGATCTTCTTGCTCTTTCCCGGCTGCTCCACCAATGGCTATGGCGGCTATTACAGCTAATGGAACTGGCGGCCGTCAGTGTATGGCTACCATGATTGAGCAGAAGCTTGTTGGTGGTAAAGGGAATGAGCCGCTCACGCGCTGCAAGTCAGAGCCTATGAGATCATTGGCTACGCTTGTGATGTAGGAGAAGTTTTCAATTTAAGTTCATTAATTTTATCTTAATTAACTTAAAAATTGTCTTAATTCCTTAGCAAAATCCTTTTTTTTTTTTTTCTGCTCGTAAATCATTTTTATTTGAAGCAATTCTTTCTGTTTTTTTTTTTTTTCCTTTTTTTAGATATAAAAAATGTGAATTTGATTTTGATCTGGTTCTTGCGTGGATGAATTTTGACAAGCCGGCGATGATGTTACCGATGGGCTAGGAAAGGGTCCACCAAAGCTCAATTCTGAGCCGTTGGATGGGCAGGATAATGAAAATAATTAAGGCTTTTGAATATTTAGTTTGGTTAAGGATGTTTTAAGTCTGTAAATAATGTAGATTTGGAGGATGATCTTGTCAAATTCTGGTCTTTCAAGGTCTCGCCCAATTGGTCTATTTTCTTGTGGATAAGATAGGACCAGGAGCCAAATATGAGACCAAATTCATTAAAGAATTGATACCATACGATTAATGTGTCAAAAATTGACATGAAAAGCAGGCTAAAAGAGAAGATATCCTTGAGAAAAAAAGCTTATTGAGTTGGGGCTTTCACAGTAACAAAAGGCTTTCCTCTTGATTATAGTTTTCTTTATTGTTCTGAAATTGAGCCAGTGAGTGGGGTCTTACTCTCGATCTGTATCCAACTCAATCCTGTTTCAACTTTAAAGCACCAAATAAATTAGCTAAATATTGTAAAACTCGTGTTTGAAAATTAGGCAAATAATTTTTTTTTTTTTGAGAATTGATATTTGAGCCCCTTAATTAATCGAATAATTAACTTTGATATAAGCTTGTAAACAAACATAACATTTGATGAATAATTTGTAAATATATTCAATTTTTATTTGTTTGTTAAATTTAATAAATAATCATGAATAATATTTTAAAATTTATTAAATAAATAAATTAATTAAAAATATAACAAAATTTGCTTATATCTAATTCGATTATAAAAATTAATAAAACATTCGATGAATAGTTCTTAAACAAGTTTAGTTTTTTTTTTTTTAATATTCATTTATTTAAATGAACAATATTTTTATGATTCGTTAATTAATCAAATAAGAACTTAATAAACTGTGATTGGAGTTAATGAAACACTTAATTTGAGCAGCCATCGAACAAAATTCCTGTCAAATTCTTGACCAGGTCATCGGTGTTATCTGAAAATCAGACCAGAACAGCAATATTCTTGTTTAACATGTGAAGAAATGTTTAGCTCATAAACTATAACTCATTACAGTCATAGTTCAGTATACAGTTTCGCTTTGATTATAGTTGATCACATTGTAGCATTGCACAAAGCAATTCTTAACCAACAAAACGTCTGTCGGATGAGATAATGCATAAGCACAAACAACTGAAAATTGCATCACATTATACGAATATATATTACATTTTGCGGTTGCTTAAAAATTCCCTAAGTTATATTCTTCAAAATTCATCATCATCACACGACATAAGACAAGATGAGACAGCAACAAAGCAGGGAAGAAAAAGCAACTTAGAAGAAATTCTATCCTAGGCAAGGCTAAATAAAAACATACTAAAAGAACGTCGAATAAAGGAGAAAATGGAAAATGCAAGAGGGTACCCAAAATGCCAACTCAATCTATAGAGAGGAAGAAGTAGACAGCAAATTTTTGCTCCTCCCTGCTTCTACCTCCGCATCGAAGAAGTCCTGAAGTGCAATCATGTTAATAGTGTGCGACTTCAAGCTCCTAATCGCCTCTGAACTTGCCAAGGCTCCATCAACAGTTGTTATTATAGGAACCTTGTAAGCAAGAGCCATTCTCCTCAACTGCCGGCCATCAATCTGATCAAGTGCATCACTGGAGCTTGTGATAACCATCAACTGGATCTGCCCATTAGCAATCATATCACCAGCATGTGGCCGCCCCTCGTGCATTTTCAGCACCCGTTCCACCAGGATACCTTTTAGTTCAAGAAAGTGCACTGTCCCAGATGTTGAAACAATCTGGAATCCCAGCGCCAAGAAAGCTTTTGCGATTCTTTCAAGATAGGGCTTTGTCAAGTCATTTAAGCTAAGGAAAACAGTACCAGAAAGTGGCAGCTTCTGCCCAGCAGCAATCTGAGCTTTTGCAAATGCTATTGCAAACTCAAAATCAATGCCCATTACCTCACCAGTGCTTTTCATTTCAGGACCTAATAACACATCACAGCCTTGGAACTTCTCAAATGGAAGAACAGCTTCCTTAACTGACACATGTTGTGGTGTCACCTCTTTTGTGAAACCTAGATCATTAAGTGACTTCCCTGACATAACAAGAGCAGCATATTTAGCCAGTGGGTGTCCAATTGCCTTGGAAACAAATGGTACAGTCCGAGAAGCACGGGGATTTGCCTCAAGTAAGAAAACATCCCCAGATGCTGTGATTGCATACTGACAGTTCATGAGCCCGCACACATTTAGCCTCTTAGCCAATTTTGTAGTCCATGACCTTATAGCATCTAAGCAAGAAGATGGGATGGTTTGCGTGGGAATTGAGCAGGCAGAGTCACCAGAATGGACCCCAGCCTGCTCAATGTGCTCCATTATCCCTCCAATCACCACATGACCATGTAAATCAGCAAGTGCATCTACATCAATTTCAATTGCATCAGATAAATACTTGTCAATCAGTACAGGCCGTTCTGGGTCCACCTCAACAGCATTCTCTAGATATGTCACAAGCTTGTCATCACTGTATACAATCTCCATCGCCCGGCCACCCAACACATAGGAAGGACGGACAACAACTGGGTAACCTATATCTGTTGCAATGGCAAGAGCATCATCTTCACTCTTGGCAATCCCTCCTTTCGGCTGCTCAATCTTTAACTCCTTAAGCATTGCATTGAACCTCTCTCTGTCCTCAGCTGCATCAATGGAATCTGGGGATGTACCCCATATGCGAACATGGCCAGCCCTGCTGGCACATAAAGGTCGGTGCTCATCTAAGTAATGCTGGATGGGTAGAGCCAGCTTAAGGGGCGTTTGACCTCCAAACTGGACAATGATGCCATCAGGTCTTTCTAAATCAATAACATTTAGAACATCTTCAACCGTCAGGGGTTCAAAGTAAAGACGATCACTGGTATCATAATCTGTGGATACAGTTTCAGGATTTGAATTCATCATGATTGTCTCAAATCCAGCTTTCTGCAAAGGGGAAAACACAAAAGAGATTTGACAGAAAAAGTTAGCAAATTTATGCAAAGGGTGAAAATGCAATATACAAGCAGCTTCACCTGATTAAACTTATGGACGCATGAACAGGAAGAAGATAACTCAAACCTGAAGGGCAAAAGATGTATGGCAACAGCAGTAGTCAAACTCAATCCCCTGACCAATACGATTTGGTCCTCCACCCAAAATCAAAATCTTCTTCTTTTCAGTAGGAGCTGATTCACACTCAAAATCATAGGAAGAGTACATATAAGGAGTATTGGCCTCAAACTCTGCAGCGCAGGTATCTACCCTCTTATATGCTGGCGTAACTCCCAAAGATATGCGCTTTTCCCTGACTTCTTTCTCTGATGACTTAGTTGCAAAGGCTATCTGCTTATCACTAAAGCCTCTCCTTTTGATTTCATAAAATTCATCCTTTGTCAGATCAGACAAACTTCGAGACAAAAGATATTGCTCCACATCTACTAATTCTTTAAGCTGAGTGAGGAACCATTTGTCAATGAAACTCAGCTCACATATATCGTCCACTTTCATCCCCTTCTTCATTGCAGCATATATAGCATGGATTCGATCTGGGCTGGGGACTCTGAGACTGTACTTCAATCGGTCCCAATCCCAGTCAAGTTCATTAACTTTTGCACAACCCCATCCAGAGTAGCCACATTCCAGAGATCGAACTGCCTTCTGAAATGACTCTTGAAATGTCCGACCTAGAGCCATGGATTCCCCAACAGATTTCATCTGAGTTGTCAATATTGGCTGAGAACCAGGGAATTTCTCAAATGCAAACCGTGGGATCTGCATAATTGGTGTAGTTAAATGATTTTAGAAAAATAAGAAACTCATAAGCTGATAACTTAAATTCTCATGCAATAAAAGAAAATAGTGAATGATATCTCAATCTTGGCAGAGCATTATTCATATCGAAAAGACAATTGAAACACTCAGATAGAGATTCTGGTGTATTGTTCCATCTATGAGATGAATCATCATGATGTAAATGATATTTTTAAGCATTAAATAAAGCACCACAATACCCTGAGTTGTTGTAGTTGATCAAAAAAAAAAAATCTAGTCCTTGCTTGGTCTTAACCACTCTGAATGCATAAAAAAAACATCCAAAGAAACAAGGTAGGTGCAAAGTTCCTACCTTAGTCACCACGTAATCAATAGAAGGCTCAAAACTGGCGGGGGTCTTCTTGGTAATATCATTAGGAATCTGATCCAACGAATATCCAACCGACAACTTAGCAGCCATTTTTGCAATAGGAAACCCTGTAGCTTTTGAAGCCAAAGCAGAACTCCTCGAAACCCTTGGATTCATCTCAATAACCATAACTTCACCATCAACAGGATTAACCGCAAATTGCACATTGGAACCTCCGCACTCGACACCAATCTCCCTAATGATCTTAACACTATAATCCCTCAACCTCTGATACTCCTTATCCGTCAAGGTCTGCGCCGGCGCTACAGTAATGGAATCCCCAGTATGCACTCCCATGGGATCAATATTCTCAATTGAGCAAATGATCACAACATTATCAGCCAAGTCCCTCATAACTTCCAACTCATATTCTTTCCATCCTAGCAATGATTTCTCAACTAAAACCTGCGAAGTCAAACTTGCAGCTAAACCCGCCTTACAAATAGCCTCAAACTCTTCCTTGTTATAAGCTATCCCGCCCCCGGTCCCTCCTAGAGTAAACGCTGGCCTAATGATCAATGGGAACTCCCCGATTTCATTAGCTATTTGGATACATTCATCTAATGTAGTCCCTATCCCTGAAGG